TTTGTTGTCTGATTGCTGTTGCTAGGACTTCTAATACTATGTTGAACAAGAGTGGTGAAAGTGGGCATCCTTGTCATGTTCCTGATCTCAATGGGAAGGCTGCAAGCTTTTTCCCATTGAGGATTATATTTGCTGTGGGTCTTTCATAGATAGATTTTATGAAGTTTAGGAATGTTCCCTCTATCCCTATACTTTGAAGCATTTTAATCAGGAACAGATGCTGGATTTTGTCAAATGCTTTTTCTGCATCAATTGAGAGGACCATGTGGTTCTTCTCTCTTCTCATATTAATTTGCTCTATCACATTGATTGATTTGCGAATGTTGAACCATCCTTGTAGCCCAGGAATGAATCCCACCTGGTCATGGTGGATAATCTTTTCAATGTGCTGTTGGATCCTGTTTGCTAGGATCTTGTTGAGAAACTTAGCATCCATATTCACCAGTGATGTTGGTCTGAAATTCTCCTTTTTGGTAGGGTCTTTGCTTGGTTTTTATATTCATTATAATTTGCATTTTTCTTTTTAATTTTTAACTAATAAACTTTATTTTGGAGGATAGTTTTATATTTACAAGAAATATTGAGTAGAAAGTTCAGAGTACCCCCCCACCCGATCTTTTTCATTAGTGGGGTACATTTGTTACAATTAATTGAGCCACTGTTGATACATTATTAACTAAAGCCCATAGTTTGTATTAGGATACACTCTTTGTATTGTACATTTTCCGGAGTGTGTGTGCACGTGTGTGTGTGTGTGATTTTTCTTCAATTGAGTTTTGACAAATGTATCTACATGTATCATGCTAAATAGTTTCACTACTTAAAAATTTTTTAAAAATTCCTTCAGTAGGAGGCCTGCTTCTCCCTCTCCCACTCACCCTGCTTGTGTTCTCTTTTTTGCTGTCTCTCTCTGTCAAATAAATAAATAAATAAATAAATAAATAAAATATTTTAAAATATATTTTTAAAAATTCCTCTGTTCTACCTATTCATCCTGTCTCTCCTACCCTTGGTAACCACTGATCCTTTTATTGTCTCCACAGTCTTGCCTTTTCCAAAATGTCATATAGTTTGAATTGTACTGTATGTATTTTTTTAGAATGGCTTCTTCCACTAGATAATGTGCATTTAAAATTTCCTCTGCATCTTTTTGTGGGTTGATAGCTCACTTCTTTTTTGTTGTTGAATAATATACCATTGTTTGGATATGCTCAGTTTTTTTTTATCCACTCACCAACTGAAAAGCGGGATTGCCAGATCATATGATAACAGTATGTTTAGTTTTGTAAGAAACTGTGATTATTATGTATTAGATTGAAATCTAATCTTGCTATTTGTTTTTTATTTTTTCCATCTTTGTTCTCTTTTCCCTTTTTTTGCTTTCTTTTGAATCAATTGAGCATTTTAATGATTCCACTTTTTTCTCTTTTGCAGGCATGTTAGTTATTTTGTTATTTTAGTTGCTTTGGGTTAATAGTATCCCTCATTCACGTATCTCACATATTACTTTTGAGGGATATTATACCACTTTACAAATTGTTTAAGAACCTATTTTAAGGTTCTATTATTGTCATATATTTTATTAACATATTTTACAAACCCCACAATATAATTTTATTATTTTTGCCTAAAGAGTTAACTATCTCTTAAAGACATTTAATAATAAGAAAAATTCTTGTATATTTATTTATGTAGTTACTATTTCTGGTACTCTCCATTTTTCTGTTTGTAGATTTCTGTATTTCCATCTACCATCATTTTCTTTTTGTCTAAAAGGCTTCCTTTTACATATTTTATAGTCTGCTGACAGTTAATTTTTCCAGTTTTTATATATCTGAGAAAATCTTTATTATAAAAAAGCTATACAAATCAAAAAGGAAGAAGTAAAACTTTCTTTATTTGCAGATTACATACAATAGATAGAAAACCCTAAAAACTACCTCCCCCAAATTTTTAGAATAAAAAAATTTAGTAAAGTTGAAGGATACAAAATCATTATACAAAAATCAGTTGTGTTTCTATATCATGCCAACGCACTATCGGTAAGAGAAATTAAGCAAGCGATCCATTTATAATTGCATAAAAATGAATAATACACAAAGAATAAATTTAACTGAGGGAGAGAAAGATCTATGCAGTGAGAACTATAAAACATTGATGAAAGAAACGTAAGAAGACAAAAATAAATGGAAAGATATTCTGTGCTCAGGGATTAGAAAAATTAATACTGTTAAAATATCCTTATCACTCAATACAATCCCTATCAAAATTTCATTGGTTTTTTTTCACAGAAATCGTATGGTATTAGCATAAATATAGACATATAAATCAATGGAACATAAAAAAGAGCCCAGAAATAAATCTACGCATATGTGGTCAATTAATTTTGTATAAAGGAGCGAAGAATATACAATGGAAAAAGAATCATCTCTTCAATAAATGTTGTTGAGAAAACTGGATAGTCAAATGCAAAAAAATGAACTTGAACCTCTATCTTACACCATACACAAAAATCAACTCAATTGCTGTGAAGTGTGTAAACCTGGCGATTCACAGACCTGCACCCCTGGGGATAAAAATACATTATATGTTTATAAAAAATAAAAAAAAATTTTTAAAAAGCAAGATTAAAAAAAAAGAGCTCTGGAGATTGGCAGGTTAGTAAATTTCAGTGGGTTGGTGAGAAAAATAAAGAGTACCGTTCAGGAAAAGAAAAAAAAAAATCAACTCAAAATGGATTAAATACTTGAATGTAAGACCTAAAACCATAAAACTCCTAGAAGAAAATACAGGGAGTAAGCCCCTTGACAGCAGTCTTGGCAGTGATTTTTTTTTCAGGTGAGGGGGTACTTGACAACAAAAGCAAAAATAATAAAAGCAAAAACAAACAAGTGAAACTACATCATATAAAAAGCTTTTGCATAGGAAACATCAACAAAAAGAAAAAGCAACCTATTAAATGGGAGAACATTTTCAAATCATATATCTTAAAAGGGGTTAATATCCAAGACACATAAAGGACTCACAACTCAATAGCAAAAACAAAACATTTTAAAAATGGGCAGAGGAATTGAACAGACATTTCTCCAAAGAAGACATACAAATGGCCAACAGGTATATGAAAAGTTGCTCAACATCACTAATCGTTAGGGAAACACAAGTCAAAAGTACCATGAGGTATCACCTTCGACATGTTAGAGTGGCTGTCATCAAAAAAATAAGAGTTAAGTTGGAAAAGATATGAAAAAAAGGGACAGCCTGTGCATCATTAGTGGGAATGTAAATTGGTGCAGCATGTATGGAAAACAGTATAAAAACTCCTCAAAAAGTTATGAGGTCTGGGTGGCTCAGTCAGTTAAACATCTGCCTTCAGCTCAGATCATGATTCCAGGGTCCTGGGATCAAGACCTGCAGGTCTCCCTGCTCAGCAGGGAACCTTTTTCTCCCTCTCCCTCTGCTGTTCCCCTTGATTGTGCTTTCTCTCTTTCCCTCAAATAAATAAATAAAATCTTAAAAAAAAAACAAACAACCAAAAAGAAAGAAAACTCCTTAAAAAATTAAAAATGGAAGTACCGTATGATCTAGCAATCCCACTTCTGGGTATAAATCCAAAGGAAATGAAAATAAGACAGTGAAGAGATAGCTGCACTCCCGTGTTGCTTGCAGCATTATTCACAATAGCCAAGATATAGAAACAACCAAAGTGCCCATCAATGGATGAATGAATAAAGAAGAGGTGGTGTAGACATACCATGGGATATTATGCAGCGAGAAAGAAGGAAATCTTGCCATTCCCTGACAACATGGGTGGAACTTATGGGCATTATGCTAAGTTAAACTAGCTGGAGAAAGGCAAATACTGCAAAGTATCACTTAGGTGTGGAAACTTAAAAAAGAAAAAAAGTCAAATTCATGGAAACAGAGAGTAGGAAAGTGGTTTCCAAGGGCTAGGGGTTGGGAGAAATAGGAGAGTTTGGTAAAAGGGTACAAACTTTCAGCTATGAGATGAATAAGGTTTGAGGATTTAATGTAAAACATGGTGACTATAATTAATAACATTATAAGTTTATATAATTGAAATTTACTAAGAGAATAGAACTTTTTTGCTTCATCAAAACAACATAGAAATGAATGCTATTTATCTTAATATCAATTTTATACTTTTAATATGTAGATTTGTTCAAATTTTTTAAAGTTATTTATTTTAATTCCAATATAGTTTACATACAACATATTAGTTTCAGGTGTACTGCAGTACAGTGATTCAATAACTCTGTACATTGCTCAGTGCTTATTATGATAAGGGCACTCGTAATCCCCTTCACCTGTTTCACCCATCTCCCCGCCCACCTCCCTTCTAAAACCATTAGTTTGTTCTCCACAGTTAAGAGTCTAGGAGTGCCTGGGGGGTTCAGCTGGTTAAATGTTTGACTCTTGATCTCAACTCCAGTCTTGATCTCAGGATTGTGAGTAAAGCCCGGTGTTGGAGCCTACTTGAAAAACACACCCAGTGTGGGGCCTACTTAAAAAAAAAAAAAGAAGTTAAAGCATCTGTTTCTTGGTTTGTTTCACTCTTTTTTTTTCCTCTGTTCGTTTGGTTCTTAAATCCCACCTATGATTTGTTTGAATTTTATAGTTTTCTAATGAGGCTGTCCCCATAAGGAATTTATACCATGTTTATGTAAGTACCATTATATTTACATTGTATTACATTACATTACATTACATTATATATTATACATTACATTATATTACATTTGTCAGAACTGAGTGTCATTTATTTTTTTTTTCCTTGAAGAGAGGTGTACTCACTACTTAAATTGGAGAGATGATGTCCTAGGACCCTGAAAAAAATAAGGCATGAACAGATTATAGGCAACACCCACATTTGCATTGTAATCAATCATGAATTCCAATTTGCCTGGGGGCATTTGCTTTGTAAATGTTTCTTTGTGACTAGGGATGTAGAATTGTGGCAAAAGTTCCTGTTTCATAATTGACTATGCCTATCACCAACTTGTAGAAAATAGGGTTTAAAGAAATCAGCTAGAGTGGCCTGCTTTCAACACTGAGACTTCGTGATGCAAGGCCCTGTCAGCTCCCACCAAAGATTACTATTCACGCTCCGGGCACATAAGTAAGGTAAGGAGCTGCGGACTGAGGGGAATATCTGTCAGCTTCCCCAGGGTCTCCCCAACAAGATCATTATTCCAAGCGGAGGTATCCACAAGAAGACTGTCCCCTCAATCTGTGAGTTTCCTACTGAGACTTCAATCTGTTCTCACTGTGTCACTTTTAGTAAGCTCATCTTTAAAACATATTCACCATTTGAGACCTGTTTGTTTTTTGTGGTGCCAATACTGTACTTTTAAATTTTCCTTATGGTCATGGAAGGATGTTGGCTGTGGTCCATGCACTTACAAAAATTATAAACCATTTTTGAGGAAGGACTCAGTCCTTTTGAAGATTGTGTTAAAGGGAAAAGTAAGACAAAGTCATGGAGCTGCAAGAAGAGGAGGAAATGAATGAAGAAAAAGAGAAGAAAATCATGTCTCAGCCCCAAGGTAAGGCTTTTTGGTGTAGAAAAACACGGTTTCTAAATGAATGGCACAAATTCATCTAAATGAACCAAAATATGGATTATAAAAATGTTTAGTCTGTGAAAATTATGCTAGTTGAGAACAAATTTAATTGTTCCAATTCAAAACCAATATTTAAAGGCTCATGATGAAACCATTACTTTATTACTAAAAGGCCTGGCTTATTTGTAACATTCTGTTTATGCTTTTCTGTTTCACTTTTATCAGTTCCGCAGGACAGGGCAGTGGTGCAAAAAGGGGTTTACCAGAAGTGAGTATTGAGTAAGTCTCATCTTAAAATAGTTTTGCAACATGTTATGCAAAATCACAGTTGCAGAAAAATCATTGAGAGCCATTAAGCAGATCAATTATACTATCTCTAGACCTGATATTTTTTTAGTCCATTCTCTCTCTGTCTCTCTCTCTCTCTCTTTTTTTAAGATTATTTATTTGACAGAGAAAGAGCAGTGAGAGAGGGAACACAAGTGGGAGAGGAAGAAGCAGGCTTCCCACCTACCAGGGAGCCTGATGTGGGGCTTGATCCCAGGCGCTTAAGGACTGAGCTACCCAGGCGCCCCTAGCCCAGTCTCTTTGACAGAGCATGTTCTATTTTTACACATAGAACATCTGTCCATGCTCACCTTCGACCCTCTTGCAAGTATACCAATATATCAGAGGGAAGTTTTCACTTAATTGCAATTTGGGTTAAAATAAAAATATAGCCATGTCATTTCAAGAATTGTAGGCAGGAAGATTTAACTAAAACCCAAATAGTCCATTTTCACCGCTAATTTTCTACTTCTCCTTGTGTATTGTGCACAGAAAAATAAGCTTCCTATACAATAAGAAATTTGCTTTTCTAGGAATTATCTGTTGCATTCTTTTTTTTCTTTCTTTTTAGTAATTTTTCTAAGCTTATTTAGATTTAGACATCACTCTTTGAATGTAGGTAACAGGATAAGAGAAATTTGCTTCATATAGTCCTCATTTTTTGGTTCTGTGGTCTTTAATGCTGTTCTTGGATTCTTAATTCTTTTTTAAAAATTTATTTTATTTAATTTTTTAAGATTTTATTTATTTGTTTGACAGAGATCACAAGTAGGCAGAGAGGCAGGCAGAGAGAGAGGGAGAAACAGGCTCCCTGCTGAGCAGAGAGCCTGATGCTGGGCTGGATCCCAGGACTCTGGGATCATGACCTGAGCCGAAGGCAGAGGCTTAACCCTCTGAGCCACCCAGTCGCCCCTGGATTCTTAATTCTTAAGAACATGGACTTTTGTGTTGGACACAAGGATTTGAACCTAGGATCCTTTGCCTCCTGGTGTTGGGGCAGCGGGCAGGAGATTTTTAAGGCTCATTTCCTCCTCTGTCAAATGAGGTTGAATTGTACACTCCTTATAAATTTGTAATGAGAATTAAATAACATATGAAAGTGTTAGCATAGTAGTTGGCACATTGTAACTGAGCAATATGTATCAGTTGTCTTTATTTTATTTTTTTTAAAGATTTTACTTATTTGTGTTAACGGGGGAGCAACAGGCAGATGGAGAAAGCAGGCTCCCCGCTGAGCAAGGACCCAATGCAGGACTCGATCCCAGGACCCTGGGATCATGACCTGAGCTGAAGGCAGATGCTTAACTGACTGAAACACCCAGGCGTCCCCAGTTATCTTTAATATAAGTATTAGCATTATGGGGTTTATATATTTTTAAATGAGCTGATGTCTGCTAATAATTGTACCTTCAAATATTGAGCTTTCAAAGTGTGTCTTAGTCCACGTAGGCTATATGCTATAGCAAAAATACACGAGACTTTACGGCTTATAAATAGCAGAAGTTTACTTTGTCACAGTTCCGGAGACAGGGAAGTCCCAAGATCAAGGTGCCAACAGATTTGGTATCTAGTGAGAGCCTGCTTCCTGGTTCACAGATGGCTGTCTCCTTGCTGTGTTCTCACATGATGGAAGGGGCAAGAGAGCTCTCTGGGGACTCTTCTATAAGAACATGAATCCCATTCTTGAGGGTTCCATCCCCATGACCTAATAACCTCCCAAGCCCTCACCTCCTAATATCATCACATTGGGGATTAGGTTACAACATTCGAATTTTGGGCAGACACAAACATTCAGTGTATAGGAAAAGGTTAGAAACTATATTCTCTGGTAAATTGTATTTTGAGTAATGATGGTTTGTTTACAGTGCTGAGGTACAGATTTTCTCATATCTAGAAATCATCTAGATATCAAGATATTTAATATCTTAAACACTAACCTATTTATTTTATAATCTTCTTTATATATTTCCACAAACAATATTTTATGTAGAGAAAATATATGCAAGAAGATGTGCCTATGAATCAGAATATTTTTCTAGTCTGAGTGTACTGGAGAAAAATTTATATTATATGACATACAACATGGTTTCTTCAAAAAGCTGACTGGTAGATTGAAATAAAGAGATGCTAATATTATCAGGGAATATTTTTGTAGAGACTGTAGGTATAAAATTTTCAAAGCAGAGATTTATACACTGCAGTCTAGCTGATTAAGGATGCCTGTTCCCACCATGAAACAGACATGTTCAAATTAGAATAATTCGATGAAGGTTTATAAATAAAGGTAATATTATAATGGTATAGGCAGAGTGGAAATCTTAGGGACTCTCAGGCTGTCATACTCCAGGCCTGAGAACCATGAGTAGGGAGAGGTTTTCAGAACCAAGAAGGAGAGGGAATCATGTAGAACAGACCATCTTAGAGGAATAGTGACCTTCTGTTAGGAACACAGATAGTCCTTCTGCTTGGAATAAATTCCCCGACCTCATCCCCTGCTTCTGCTCTCCTGTTAGATCTCTCTCTTGGCTAAACCCAAGGCAAGCCAAAGAGAGGAGCCTGTTGCAATCATTCATTAAGATCAACCATCCAGGGTAGAGAGCAGAATGGAAGAAGGTAGAAAGTAAATCTGAAGGGCAAACAGAAGGTATGCTCACACATGCTGACATTATTAAAATCTTTAAAAAAGATTTAATAAAATTCTTTATTTTTCCTTGTTATTATATTCATTGGTGGCTAGTGTTTATAAACAAGTTGAAGCTTTATAAACATGTCCTAGACAAGATCCTTCCAGGAATTTTTGAGCTACTTTTTAAACAATAAGAGAAAAGAACACGGCTTAAAATCCCTGTTTTGTTTAAAAAGATAAAAAGTGTTAGATCCATATTCTTCAATCTCTTTATACCAGGGTGTCACCCTCTAAAATGTTATTTTAGTGTCCTGAGCTCCCAAGTTCTGCTCAGTGCTTACTTTTGTCATTCATTCACCCATCATTCAACAAATATTTTTAAGAATCTCTAATGTCGTAGGTATTGTGTTAGGCTTTGGGTAAAAAGTAGTAAGGGGAAATATAATCTCCATTCTGAATCTAAAAATATTTTTTGAAACCAATGGTTTAGTAGATAACTATTTTGAGTGACATAAAGACTTACCTAATTTAGCAAATCTGTGTTCATCAAGGTAATCATCTAGAACAACAGAACCACAAAATCACAGAAAAGTCCAAATCTAATATTTAAACACAAAAATTTGAGACCTTGCATGGCAGGCACTTATATATGAAGGGCCTTAGACTTTTTAGATAGCATATTTCTTCCCTCCTCAAAGAAAGACCTTTATCTTAAATTTTAAGCTGTCCAATTCTGGAAAAACTTATCCAAATATGATTTGTGGGACAAAGCACAGGGCACTAGCAGGATCTAGAAAGCACTGCCCAATATAGTAACCAAAGAACTGGTAATGTTCACCGTGATGTTCTACTCTGTGCAGTCCAATAGAGTGGACACTAATAACCACCAGTTATGGTGGCCGTTGGGCACTGAAAATGTCACTGAGACTGAGAAACTGAATTTAAATTTTTGCTTAATCTTAATTAATTTAAATAGCTACCTGTGGCTACAATAGGGAACAGTGTGAATCTTAAACAAGATATGCAAGATGGGGCTTGCCATCTTAATCTCATTTCCCTTTTCAACAGGGTTAATGACAGCTGTTCATTTACTCATACAACATCATGTGTCCAGCAGCATGTCATGAAGAGAGGAAATCAGAGATAGGTTCTAAGAAGTAACAAGTGAGGCAAGGAGGTGGAGATATCAGAACGCTTGTGCTTTGCTAGTGTAAGTGTAAAACAGTGCAGCTTCTGTGAAAAATGGTATGATGATACGACAAAAAAAATTATACAGAGTATTACCATGGGATCCAGCAATTCCACTTCTGGGTATATACACCAGAAAAATGAAAGCAATGACTGAAAAAGAAATATTATGCAGCCTTTAAAAGGAAAAAGATTCGGACACACATGCTGTAACATAGATAAACCTTGAAGCTATAATGCCAAGTGAAATAAGCCAGTTAGGAAAGGACAAAGATTGTGCCATTCTACTTATGGGAATGTCTAGAGTAGTTAAATTCATAGAGACAGAAAGTGGAGTGGTGGCAGCTAGGGGTGGGGAAGTGGGGGATTGGAGAATTAAGTGTTTAATGGGTACAGAGTTGTCAGTTGGGAGGGTAGATAAAAAATTCTGGAAATGGATGGTGATGGTTACATGACAATGCTAATGTACTTTTGGAGCTGAACTTTACACTTTAAAATGATGACAAAGGTATATTTTATGTCACATA